AGCACTAAATTCTCGGCAAGCGATCAGGATGACGGCAGAAAAGGCAAAACGGACATAAAGATCCCGCCCAAGCTCCGTAGCAAACTTTCCATGCTCTTGCACCGTAAAAACCTCATGAAAGATGACGAAGCTGATGCGGCTCTCGCATGCTGTCTTTTAAATGGGCGATAAACTTAAGAAAAAAACTTCTTGCCAAGAGGAGCGATAATTAATTACGGTCACTTAAAACGCCGAAATCTACGAGTTGCCGGCTTTAAACTCTATAGGCACACTCCTTGAGTTCAATTTGCAGAAATTTTCAAAAACCGGAAATGACTAAATCTATTTCACTGAGGAAAGTCGATTTAAAAAAGCACCTCAAAAAAGAAACCAACGAAAAACGAATACTTCGGAAACAGCGGCAAATAACGTTAACTCTCTGAGACCAGCCGAAAGCGTTCCGCTCTTGAGATAAAGAAGCAAGTTGGTCGGTAAACAAAATGTCACGAAAAACCATCGGACGCTGCACACGATTCCTGAAGAACCGGAATATGACGGTAGTGGACGGCAGATGTCAACAGAGACTTATTTATAAAACAGTAGCACATAATGCGCACAGATAACGATGGTCGTTGAGTTACAACGAGACAAATGCTTCAAACGGTGTCGTGAGGCAGTGTAACATAAACAAACTGGCTCAAAGGGTGCTTCACAAGAAAACCCAGGTAATAAGCCTCCAATAGATGATCCTCTCGACCGCCAATAAGGCATGTTAGCCTGTCGGGCGGTCAAAATAAGATGGACGGATAAAATCAAAATCCAGCTGCTGCTGGTCTTGTCGCATAAAAGTCGTTAGAATTAGGCACGAAGAATGTGGAATTCCATAAACTATTGTGTAATGTATATATTACATAGCATAAATATAACTATTTTGTCATATCCATAATGGTGTTTATTTACCATGCTCAGCATGTATACTAAGAACAGTAACTTATAATAATACTGCAAACGTGACATTAACAGCGTTATAAATAATCTATAGTGTTGTTTCAAATTATGTATACTATACATACAACATAATCAAATATATGCACTGTATCCTACGTATGGCGTAATACATGGAATATATGTATAACGCAATGTCGGAGCAATCGTCGGATTATCGGTCTGATGTGACTCGAAATGTTGTAAAATTTATATTCGAAGAAACTCACTTGAGGAGAAACCAGCTGACGTGACAAATGGGATTTAACAGAAAATGTGCATGCCGCAAATTACTGTATTGTGTCAAATAAATAACGTAAAGTCAGACCTAGTGTTGCAAATACAGTACATATCCCGCAAAACCTAGCACATGCAACGCCTTACGCATATGACAAAAGACGATTATATACGTCATGTATAGTATGCATTATCCGACTGGCTCTCGTTACAGGTGAACTAAAAACGCATCTCCACGTTCCACAGGTATTCTCTATTCCATCTCCACCATTGGCCCAGTCATATGAGCATCGAATCGTTCCCGACTGATCTTGGACCTTCGAGTAGAGTAGTATAGTGCGTTCATAGCAATATACTTAACGTATTGTATAGGGGGCATGTCAGATTGCACATATACGGCATATCTACGGCAAGGAATGACTTCTTTTCCTTATTCTGCTTCATCAAGGATGACGCCGGATTCTGCATGCAACAACACTGTCCACATATTACATAAGTTACATCTACACTGATACGCATAATTTGTAGTAATACATAGTAAATCTTAAAAATTCATACAAGGCGCAGTAAACGCTAAAATACATACCACATATGCTGGAGATTACATAAAACAATGACATGCGGAGTCCACAGTCTGTTTAAACGTTGCAGTGTATATGCTACCGTTCATAGTGATAATCCGTTCAGAGCGATATGGATGAAACGAATATGCTTTCAGTCCATACAGCAGTAATGCATGGCCCATAAGTTTCGACCAACATCAAAGTCATGACGCAAACATAGAGGCTACATGGTAGAGGCTTAGATGTGGTAGTGGGCGGGAGGGGGCATAAGCGTAGACTTCACAGTAACCTAGTAAAACGGCGGGATTACTAGAATGGACTGAATTAAGACTAAATTTCAGTTTATAAATGTACGGACTTATCCATACCCGTAAGGGCAGATTATGAGTTTGGACGGCAATATACATACCACAAAACATGTCAAATAATATACATTATGCGTATAATGTACAACAGCGTATGTTATGATGTTGCAGACGTTTTCTTCGGTGCCTAACATTGCATATCTGTTTAAATATGCGATAGAGAAATTCGATCATGCGTTGATGGTCATACTGAAAAATAAACAGCATAAAACAAGGCAACTTCTGTATTACTTCTTACAGAGTGGTACTCATTTATCATCCTCGAAAGGAAGGAATGACCCGGATTCTCAACTTATCGATTCTGAGTTCGACGATCTACCGACTGAGGAATCTCGGTCTGACGCAATGTATGGAAAATTCTTTGCTCACGAGAATTCCTTCACTCACATGAATAAGACAAAGACTGCTCTCGGGCGGAAGAGAACCAGGAACTTGTAAAGTGCGAAGCAGATCTCTTAGACACTGTGCCACTACGTCACAGATATCACGCACAAATACCACGTAATTAGGGCCTGATTAAGTGACTCCCGAGGCGGCTACGAGCAAAGGAGATGTGCCACGCCGTGAATCCTGGTCTCGGAGGAGTTTGACACCATCTACCACACATCTGACCACAATTCATCTACATATAAGTGATATGTGTAATGCATAGCATACATTGCATACAAACTGTACATCTACAGTCGCATATGCATGCATCTGTAGTCGTTGCCTTGTGCCTTACAGTAGTGTTGAAAAGTCGAGAACAGAAATGAGCTTACAGATGGGACTTTTCGAGAACAGAAATGAGCTTACAGATGAGACTTTTCGAGAATAGAAATGAGCTTACAGATGGGACTTTTGACGACTTGACACCGGGTCAGTGTGATCACAAAATCCAAGAAGCAAGATATGCAATAACTGGTGTAAGGTAGTGGCCATTCAGAAGCCGTTTCAAAAGAATCCTTAAACCTGCATACCTTCTTCCGTTGGCCGATAACAAAAGAGTCATTAAGCGACAATTTATGAACTTATCAATCCTGGAATAATCAAGATTCACTAAAAAAAACTACACATGAACCAATCCGGATATCGTTAATCGCCGTAAATCCGCTTTGTCTCGCAGATCCACAAAATCTATGACATTTTCCTGAAACAAATTCAAGCTGATGGCGGGAAAATGTACGGAAACAGATCCGGGTTCAGTTTTTCTCACGCCAAACCATATCGATCGTACGACATTGGCTATGAATTAAGCGTTGATCACGAAAGCATGAACGAGAAGGTTGCTTGCCTAGCAGAATTTCGAAATGCTGACGTGGACACTTCGACACAAGAAAATTCGCCGCTGAATGCTGAGGACAGAATTTGGGTGGCGGTTAACGGTACAATAAAACAAATGCGAAGAACAAAACAATGCACGGATACCGAAGAGATTTTATGGTTACTCACCAAGACAGCTGCCTTCCAGGTACTGTATGTGATCCGCATGTGCCAAAGTAGCAAATCCGCAATAAAACGTGAATTATACCACAGTTATTAGCTGTTAGCCAAACGTCTATGATTTAATAGCTATTGAATAATGAACCATGAGAAAAGTCAAAATGGGCAAAAAACGCGAAATCTCTTTGTAAAAGCTGCCTGTTTCACTTATTTTCCGTGCACTTATCCCGCCACTAACTGCATCCTAAATATGCAGGCGGTATTGGCGTTTAGCACTTCACGTGATTTTCTGCGATGACTCTATTATCTACCTGGCTATTTAAAGTTTGTTGAAGAAAAGCGGTTATTATCGTGTTTCTTCATTTTCAACACTTGCTTAGGGAATAAGAAACGAGCTGCCAACTCTGTACCATTTCGCGTGGTAAAGTTTTCAATCCCATGAAATCAATGGTTTGGTTAAATTCTTGCTGTTTACTTCTTCTATGACAGAGTCACCTTTGCCGCCTATTCGACGTTTAGCACGAACATTTTCGAGGTCAATGATGAATGGTCTTAGAACGACTCAATACATATCGCGCAGCAATTCGTTATAAACCGTTAACCCAAAGCATGACTTCACCGGATATTGCATCGGGCATTTTAGTACAGACGATTCAAGCACATAATTCTTCCTGTTTCACGCACTTAGCAGGCAAAAATTCCTGTTTTCCATAGTAATGGTGTATTTATAGCATGTAACTTCGAATTCGCCCTGAATCCTCCCCCCTCTTCTTTATGAATTATGCTCTCTTCAGTAAGACATAAATATATCGAGCAATACGGGATATCTGACGAAGGAAGAGTCGGTTCAACGGTTCACAAAATTTTATTATTATCAGCGGAACTTCAGACATAAATCACCGAAAGTTGCCCATGATTTTATGTTCTGTTTTACAGCGTTTTATACTGCCTGCGTTTTATAGTCTTGCTAAACAGTCAGCAACACGATGCGCAATTTTGAATCAATAGTGTGGGTTTTATTCTGCACTTATGTCATTTTTGTGTTGTGAACGCTGTCATTCGAAATAACTCGTCCAGTGTTTCTTTTTTTTTGTTTAAGCGTCATGTGAATTTTAGTTTCTCGATCTTTCTTCGATCTGTTAAAAGAATCGTTCATCAATGTTTCGAGGTAGACAGTGTTGGAAGAGCTCTAGCTAGCTTCGTTTGGAATCGATCAGCATACTATCTGCCTGTTCTTCACTTCGTGTTTGTTGCCAACGCGTCGATACGCTGAATATGGTTAAACATTAAAAAGGATCAAAATATTAATAATCCGATTTCCTCCGATCGATTCGACTATGTCTCTATTCGATCTTGTCAGAGTTATGAAAGTCAGCATCATTCCCGTGCAAATTCACTCTTCTTCACTTCACAATGGCAGTCTCTGGTAGCACTTTTCTCTCGTCACTTGAAGACCGAAGCTGGGCTCACGGAAAACTTGCAGTTGCCCTCAGTGGTTCACTTCCCGTTGCAAGAATATCAACCTTAGGCGCGTATTTGATTGAAGCGGTCGTGGTTGTCGGCCGTCCAGCAAGTTTTATGAACGGGATTTCCAGACACATCAATACCATATTTTCTGCATACTTGAATCACTTAGCTGGAGGTCCTTCTAGGCGGAGCTGAGAAAAGAGTTCGCCTGTAAATTGTTCTTCTTGTATCTCGGTCTCTTACTTAAACCGCAGCCGTTATTTACCTAATTTTAATATGCCGTATTTCAGTCGGTCTTGTTCTTGACTTTATCGATGCGCGCTGTGACAATAGTGCTTCATTTAATTATTGTTCTTTGTGGCGGACTATGCAAAAAATTCTTCTCTTACTGTTCTCGATTGTGACTGAATCTTTGATCGAATCTTGATCTTCATCGCAATTGGCTGTAGTCACGTAACTTAGAGACCACCAGTCGCAGCTCATCGGCCACTTCGCGATGGCAAATGGGCTTCTCTACCGATAGGTGCTAGCACAGAAACTATTTCGAAATTTGTATAGTAATGTATGTTCTAATAATTGTTCAGATTGTTTAATTTAATAGAACATCATTTCAACTTTTCAGCCATCTGGAGATAGACATATACTAGCTGGAGAATGCAACGATAAGCAGTGGGGCAAATCAACGGTAAAAAGGCACAATAAATCGTATCTGTTCATCAAAATTTAACGGAACTTTAATGTTGCGCACTGCTGTGAAACGTGTTTCTCAGGGTTTTATTTTTGAGCCAACTTTCACCTATTACTTCCACTGGACGTTATCACTTGCATGTCACTGTGGACACACTTCTGCGTTTCGTCTAGTAATTAGTTGCGGAGGCCTAATGAGTTCACAATGACGCGTCGTTTCCATGTTGATGATTTCTCACATCGCGACAAAACTAAAATTGATGACCAAACGGAAAGAAAGAACCAGGCTCTCAGGTAAGCAGGACTCCCAATTAGCCACCTGGAGGCCAAACACTAAATACATCGCACATATGTTGAAGCTCAGTGACCGTAGATTAACTATTCTGAAAAGCACAGCCTGAGAAGAAAGGCTGAGAACAGAACGATCAAAAAGGCTTTGAACGAATGACACCGTGCGTAACAGGCAGAAAAACGAAACACACACTGCTTCACTCACCAAGCAGCAAATCGTCGCATTGAAAAACACATTCTTTAGGAGTTGCTACTTGACGCTCCTATGGCTAGCGTTTCATGAAAGAATATAATGAACTTCATTCAGAGCGAGCAACGTTCTGTAGAACATTGACTGCAAATGTAAGATTTATGCATAAGCAGAAAGTGCAAAACATGTTTTGAGTTTACTAATAAACGCTTGTTCAAACCTATGCATACTGTCGAGGTATATCAAGTGATGTTCGAACATGGTCGTGTGCGAACCAACAGAGTTTTGCTGTTCTGAGTCCATGCATCACCGCTGCGATAATAACCTGGTGACGGAAGTGAAGGACCGGAGTGGTGCTAACGAGCCTAAATTCTAGCGAAGCAAGATTTACTCAGCGGATTTCTGCACTCCTTCGTTACTGCCCAGACTTCCTTTGAACATGCCTGTAGTGCGATGCTGTTTTAATTTTCAATACCGCCAGCCAATGGAGATTTAGTTTTAAGGTACTTATGCAAATTGGCGCTATAAGTCGAAATATTATGTTTGGTTTTCGACGTCTGATGCTAGTGTTGTTGAAAGGACGAATGCAGGGTGACCCTTCTGATATTTGGAATGCTGGTTGTTGTTACGACTGCAGCCGCAGCGTGTCGTATTTCGTCCCATGATTGGAAAGTTTTAAAGTGCTATGAAACACCTGAACATATTGCTTCCATATCGGAAAAAATGAATGATGAAACCAAGTCTGCTGTCGAGCAGAGTGAAAGGAACGCTACGTAGGTGATTCCCTATGAACTATATGAGATGAAAGTTCCCTGAGAGAACGTGATCCCACCTTTGCTATTCAACAACGCTTTCGACTCTCATATAAGAAACAGTGCAGATCCTGGATAAAAACGAAAATCTCGTTCTAGAAGAAAAACGCAGTTTAAAATATCCGGCTAGAAATTTTGCTCACTTGGAGTTCGTAAATGATATTCTGCTAGTGAGTTGTAAGGGAAGCGAGCTCTGTCACCTGATGGCTTCCGTGTAAAACACAGTTGTGAAAGCTGGCCTTAAGGCTTGGAAGTCCAAAGCTGTCGTAGCCCATCAGACACGGCTGATCCACTAGTGGAGTTGAAAGAAGCCGAAAGCATAGATGAAGTCGAAATCTTTCAGTATCTCTTCCCATTTCATCACAGTTGCACTCCTATGCGTGTTAACTGGATTGGGTAGGGAATTAATTTCGCTCAAGAGGTGTCCTTTCAAGAATCAACAGAGAGTTGATGGGCTACTCGTTACCAGTGAGTGAAATAAGACAAATTCTCACATTTGGTATTCTTCAAGGCAATAACGTAAACTCATCGTAATCACCTTGGTCATTGTTAAGTTTTGTTAAGGCAATGAACATCAGCCGCTTGCTTGAACGATTTTGTTTGACATATACCTCTTGTTCTCAGCTTTCAACTCTTCTGCAGCGAAAGACCGGTCATGGCATCGTAGAAAAACAATTCCCTTTCGAAAGCAGATCTGCCTTTGCCTCTTTTCTCCAGTTTCTCCGACTCCTGTCCTAAAAGTTCAAGGACGTATTTTTCTTCGCACAACGCAACCGATAAGTTTGTATCGTCCAGTTGCAACCCAGCTTTCACTCCTGCTCTTCCATCCAACAGCTTCGCCGTTACAAAGCTGGCGCGTTGTTTCTTCGTCGATGGTAGTTTCGATGGCATCGATGAGGGCTGGCAGCCTGCGTCGATGTCCTTGCTTACGCTTATTGCAAGCTTCAGCTGAGGAAGCTGCAGGACCGAATATTCGTCCAACGGCTGGCGGTCTTTTAGCCCCTTCAACCGGACCATCTTTAGCGGATCGATTGTAACTGTGAAGCAGAGCAATCTGAGGTCTGACGCCATGCAGCTGGCATAATACCCGCCCGCCTGTGTCTGTCAGCTCGGAGTCGATTTGGCGAAGGCTCGTTCCATTAAGGCTCTCCACGTCCTCAGCGGGCGGCACTGTTGCCTCTCAGCTTTGTCAAACACAGAATTCACGACTGGAGGTGGCTACTCCCTGAGGCGGGAGTCGAGTACGTTTCGGTCTCCACTGCCAAACCGAAACGATCCGTCTCGCCTGTGTCCGAGGCATGACATCTAAATATCCTCAGGCGAATGTCCTTCGCATTGCATTCCCCAGTTCCTCATAGATCTGTTCCGTTTTGCACTGTGCGCTTGCAATGCTTGGTTGTAAACTTCAATTATCTTTAGTACTCATCTCATGCCTAACCAGAAAATTAACACGGACGACGGTACGACGTGACATGTGCTCACAGCTGACTACGAACGGCACAGCCCTCTGCTTGAAGATGAATCCTACGCCAACTGTCTGAGCCGGGTTTTCGCACGCTTTCCTGAGAAACACTTGGCCACCGTCATCCAATTAGATGATGCCCGGAGTATCTTCGGATTTCGAGATCCCCAACAACCTCGGATTTGATCTTCTTCGTCTCGGTGATGTAGACTGTCGACGAGCGCGTCTGACGCAGAGTTCAGGTGTTCTGGATGACCACGAACATTTTGATGACATTCGATTTTTTGCCGTCTGCCAGTTGCATCCTGATGCCCCACCCGGTCGCAAGCAATTTCAGGTTTTGGCACGTCGATACGGCAGCCTGCGCTCATAGCCGCTATATTCTTCCGTGCGTACCGTATTTCTGGCCAGTTCTGTAGGAGGTTCATTCTGGGCGACAGCTCTGGTCTCCTACATGCTTCGAGGGTTTACCCGATTGAAACAACGCGCCCATGGTGCCCACCGGCTTTGTTGCATGGCCATGAATTGTAAGTGCCTTAGTTTGGCGTTCCCAAATATTTCCCAATATTATCTATTGAGCATTTAACTGTATCTTCTACGATTTGACCATGGGCTATGAAAATTAACCATAACTAAATTATGAAGTGAGTTTGGTCAGGCATAAAAGCCGTTAATGATATCAAATCCTGCTTTTTATTTTCAAACATGTGTACTATAGAAGGTCCCCAAATTTGCTGCTGAACTTGGTTCATTCTGATTAGGTAACGAGCTTAAATGATTTGATCAACTACTGAGAAAGACATAGTTCAGAAAGACGAAATAGTAGACCCATGAAGTGGCTGATAACGTGTGTACTTGTTGAGACAGTCACACAGAGGAGTTTGTACTAGCAGAACGCTTTTGACTTGCGATGGTTTCTATGCTCGAAGCTTCGCAGCAGCATTGCTGTAAGGCACAGGTTACTGCACCGTTGAGGGGCCACTTCCCCTACAAAAGCACATATGCCTTCGTCATATTCGTCCGTGCTATATGTTGGCCTTTTGGAACACCGCTGCCGGTGTTCGGCTCCAAAATGGGAAGCACGGTGCCGATTACGGATTGAAGTGTAACGCTTTGATGCTTAATGCTACAACAGTCAATCATTAATGATCGATGAGAATTTTTCTAACGAAGAACTTAGTGATTAATACTTACTCCAGAATGATAATTTGGTATAAAGCTAAGGGGCAAGGAGCATGTACTGCAGGAGCTAATCACGCACGAGATGGCATGAGGGCAGTGACGAAGATCGATAGCAAATTTCAGGGGTTAATGAATACTGTGATATGCGAGAAGACGAAGATCGTGTGATAGTCATGAAAAATTAACAGCAGAATGTTTCTTGCCGGCCGGCACGCACAATAGCTAGATTAAAAGGCGCGACGCGCTGAAGGGTGGCGCAACCAAGAACTCACGTTTAATATTGATTCGACAGGAGAGTGAGGGTTAGCTGACAATGAAGACATCCTCGTAAAAACCGAAGATGACCGACTGCAGCTGTCATAAATGATGTACACCCCGACATACTTTCTAATTAAAAAGAGAAATACCGGAAACTACCTCAGAGTTCGTAATCCATATCTCTGACATCTGACACCAAAATCGAAACCTGAACGGATGATATTCATAACGTATCGATTTCCTGATCACTGACTGTCACCGCTCGAGTAACCGACACTGTGATATATTAGACGACGGACTGAGAGGCAGTTGTTAGACACCGAACGCTACTCTGACCAAACGGCTACCTCTCTGTTCAATAAAGACGTTATACCTCAGTTCATTTTCGAACCACGTCACATTATCCTCTTAATTGACAAACTAGTTGCCTGTGCTGTTGGAAGACATGGAGCCTGCCAATGACATGTAGGAAAGGGCCGTGCCCGTCTACAATTTTCGTTCCCTTACACATTAAGACAAACAGTCGACGTTAATTACCTTTCTTCATCAGGTTGTACCGTATGCAAATGCACGTACGATCACCACTTTGAACCAATTATATAAGCACAAGGTCTTTCATTTGTGAGATCTGCCGTATTCGCAGACTTACTGCATCATAAAAGGATCTGTTCCTTTCCGGAAGCAAGTCTGCTTCTACTGTAGTCTTCCAAGTTTCATGATGGCCTCTTGCCGTACTTATGCTCGCGCACGAGAAGCTCATGGTCTGAAGTAAACGGTTCATGCTCAGTCAGTTCGTCTAACCGCTACCAACCTCCTTTTCAAAATTTCTACTTTAATTGAGGTCATCAGTGCATAGACGAGAACCTAGTGATTCCTAGAGGAGTCGAGCAGTTTAGCCATCATTATGCCTCCAAGCCAACGCTGCTGTATGCAGTTCAACCGTTGTTCCTGTTTCTTGATTAGAACAAGTTTGCCATGCTATGCAGCTGTACACGGACCGAACAGACACAAGATAAAGGCAGATCTCCGAGGAAGGAGGCTATTCCTTGTTCAGCTTCAATATCTGACAGATTATTGAAAGTACTGGATCAGAAAGTGATCCTAATATTTAATTCTGACTAGATGGTGCCAACAAATCGCGTTGAATCGTCATCGACCTCAAATGTGGCTTCGGATATAATTTCATTCACTAGTTTATGAACTGGAATCTTCCATGGTGGTTCACGACGCCTAATAGGCCAAACAAACAAAAGAGTCACCTTTTTACATTTGACACGCATGTTCGGTTTTCACCTTGTCACTGTTTGCTTTGAAAACAGTAGCAGTTTGTCTTAAACATCAACAGTAATAGGAAAGAGTACCATCTGTCTGTTGTACTTATACAGACCATCAAACTGGAAAATGATATGGAAAAAGATTTTGATTATTTAAACGTTTCATTCGCAAACACGTCGCTGCTACCTACAGGTCGATAATCACTCAACTCTAAGAACAAGAAAATTTTATGCCATCATCATCATTCAAGGATTACTGATAATTCTGACTGTCACTATTGTTAAAGCGTGTTGAAGTAAGACAAGAAAACAAAAAATTGCAACTGTTGGAATGTCGGTCTGTCGGTCTTTTTC